ATTGCCGTGGTAACTGTCGATAAACTCATTCCTGCTCACGCCTACTCGCCCCTCTTAGGACTGACTGCTCCCCCTCCTCCCCTTTTACCTAGTCCTACAGACTTTCATGAACATGAACTAATATTGACTGCCATGCTGTGACAATTAACTCCCCCTCCTCTATCCCCTCACTGCACACCCAGATCTAAGTCTAATAGTTTCTACTCTTTTTACCTATCAAGTTCCACCCTTCTATGTCGACACTTAATTGGACAGTTAATTTATCTTATTAATAGGCAACGATCATTTCCAGCTGAATAAGAGGTCGCGAAATTATACGACGTCAATAAATCCTGCTAATCTCGTGATCTTTGCCTTGTTCATATAACGGATATTTTTGTGGTAGGATGCTGCATTAAGGTGGTCAACGACAGCCAATATTGGCAAAAGGAATAAATACCCTATTAACCCCAAACCGAGAATTCCCAATGCAAACGCCTAAGCGGTCTGCAGTGGTCATTGACCACAGGAAGTGCAATGTGCGTTTGAATCAAGGATACCTTACCTACCTAAATTTCAACCGAGAATAATTCTCGGAAGAGCACAATCTACACAGGAAATGAAATCAACGGCGAGATATGTGTGCTGTTGCCTCGTTGCAGCCCGACAGCAAGACTAACTTCGATTCTAACAGACCATCCCCGAAATAATCACAGCAGCGTAAGTTGGGAATGTTAGGAACCTACTAACTACACAATTGCCCCACTCCCGTTTACAGTTCCGTATTCCTTGATTTTTTCGCTAATTATTGTCATTTACTGAGTTAATGAAATATATATCTTATGATAAAATGATATACTAATGTAAAAATATTAATACTAACTTTGCATGGTGGAATACATAGTTAACTTGACCAGTCTTCGCCTTAGTAAGAGTGAAATTTATAGGTGTGCCCACACATATTTGTCAGCTATCTATTGTTAAGGATAATGTTGTAAGATGACTTTTAGAGCTTTTAAGGATGACAGTTTAAGGCATATTTGGTGTTTGAATATTACAATAGAAAGTTACGAGCTTTTTTAAGATGGGTCCCAGGTATTCGTGGGTAACTATGTCATCCCTAACCCCACGCGAATACCATGGGGGTCGACTGTATTGCTCTGCAAACGGCTAAAAGTACCGTTACACGGCTAAAAAATCAACAACGCCGGCGAATGGCACGCGCAGCTGAGCCCGTGTCAGTCATAAACGTGTTGGACCACGTGGGTGAAACACATACTGAGCAACGTGAGCAGGTCTGCGGTGAATTGTGCATCTAGCTGCTGAAGCATTGGATGGAGCATGAGCCATGGAAAACCCAGTAATCATGCACGAACATGCGCCAGTCCAGGTAAACCATCAGTGATCTCGCAGCACACTTGTGACAAATTTTCGAACCTCACGACCAATATTTTAACAGCTGCCAGTATCAAAAAGGAGGCCGTAAGCCCAACCTCTAAAGCCAGCCACGCTTTTGGCAGACTGAGACATTAAGTCCGCAATTGCTGCGGCAGCCTCACTCATCTGCAATAAGAGGAAAAGGTGAAAGACGAGGAAGAATAAGAGGAGGAGGAGGAAGAGGCGAATGAAAATTATTGTTATGTGGGCATGGTAGCCCATCATATATCAACACCTACGAGTACAAAGACAAGATGACAATTTAAAAAATGATCCCAGAGGGGTTAGGCCAGGTAGAACACCAACTTTTGATGGAACCGGGAGGTTACTCCGGACGCGAATGACTGAGCATGCAGCGACGGTGAGGAAAAAAGACGCAAAGTCCCAGGTTGCAGCTCACTCGACGGGACCCGAACATATTTTCAAGTTTAACGAGGCCGAAATCCTCGCAAGAGGTGACAACCGTG